CATTTTATTTAGCCGTTCATCAGTCATGGACGTTTGGGCTGATGTAACTAATGCTGCTATGAACATTCATGCACAATTTTTTTGTATGTGAACATGTTTTTTATTTTACCCTGTGAATAGAATTGTTGTATCATGTGGTAACTATTATGTGAAGAAGTGCCAGACTCTTTTCCAAAGCAACTGTACCCATTTTACATTCCCACCAACTTGTGTATAAGGGTCTAGTTTCTCCATAGGCTTATCAGCACTTTTTGATTATAACATCTGAGTGGGTATCAAGTGGTATTTCATGGTGGTTTTGATGATTTTCAGTTATTAATATAAATCACAAGATTATGGTAAATTGGAGCCCTGCAGAAAATTCAGACTATATGACCTCCCTGTTCCTATATGTTACTCTCTGTTTCTTTCTGCTTTCTCACAGAAAGGCCCCCTAAGGGACCCCTTTTGGCTCTACTTTGACTCTTCATTCACTCTTCTCACTTTCTTGAGCTGTTCCCATTTTACATGTTGACCATACAGAATATGGTAATTGTATCCAGAAATAGGCCAAACATGCAGAACCATAGAAGTCTGCCATCACATTCCCAGTGGGTCCAATTAACCTATTTAGTCCTAGCCCACACCCACACAAGTTAACATGGCAGGACTTGGTCTCCAGCAATGTAAGTTAAGAGCAGAAGACTTCCTAGTGGAAGCAGAGGCAAGTGTAGATGAATGGATCTGTCTCTTGCCATGTAGAGTTGATAGAGCATACCCTGTATGAATACTTTTTTTTAAAGATTTATTTATTTTTATACAAGAGCTGGCTGGGGTACAGGTCCAGAGGCGCAGGAGGGTGAAAGGATTCACCTAAGACAGAAGGGAGCAGAACGGCAGATGACCAAAATACACTGCTGAGGGGAACCGCGGGCGTGACAGGAGAGGTCTGCCACGCCATGTGGGAATCTCCTCGGCTGGCCAGGAATTGAACCCACGCTGCAGAGGCTGCAGATAGCTTCACAGCACTGTGCTCAACCTGCTGCACCACCAGGGAGGCCCTGTGTGAATATTTTTACTAAAGAAGTCTTGGTGCCTTTTTTCTTCCCTATAAAGCTGTAGTCTCAGGATAGGAACAGCTAAGTTGGGGTAAGTGTGAGCCACCCTGAAGACAAAGCCTTTGGGCTAATCAAACAGATTTTTATTAAATCTCTACTGTTCACAAATGCTGGAGCTTTGTAATTGTCAGTTTATTCATTCTTGTTACTTCTTCTTGCCAATTAGATAGGTTAATCCAACTATTTTGAAATTAGAAGAAATTAAAAATTAAGTTCACATCAGTTAAATGGTATAACCAAATTCACATATCTAATAGTTGACAGAGTCTGGAGTCAAATCTCTTCAATTTAAAAATCTTCCCTCTCTCTTCTACTGTCCAGCAAGATCAAGGATGTGAGGTTAAGAGGTCAAGATATTTAAATCCAACTTAAACTAGATACTAGTAAATAGTTTTAATGCAACTGTAAACACCAAATTGTTCATAGCCAGGCCTGTACTCTCAACTGTGATTAGTTCAGTTATCTACTGGTGTTGATTTTAGAAAAACACTAGAATTTTAAATGTGCTTGTACAGGATTTAAAAGGCCACTAAAAGGGGAAAAGAGGAGTAGACAAATACTAGAGTGCCAGGAACCCCTCCAAATGTCTCCAGAGAAGGTTCAGCTTAGATTTGTGCAACCTTGCCCACACTGTTCTAGGAAACCAAAACAGCTGCCAAGTCTGAGCCTGTGATCTCATACCTCTGAGGAGAACCCATCCCTCATTCCTGGAAACTTGGGAGTTCTGGGTTGAAGTGGACAGAGGTTGTGGGAGAATATGTTTGCTTCCCTAAAAATGTTGTCTGTGGCATGCACTATTTCTATACTGAACACTGATTTCCTTACTCTTTTGCTTCCCTTATAAGCTCCTAGAAAGCATGAGCAGGGTTGCATTAAAGTTTTGAAATAATAGAGTGAAGGTATATTTTTGCATAAGAAGATCAGTAACTTAAAACCAAAACCATCACTGCTCACATGTCCTTCAGCCTTCTCTGTTGATCATGAGCAGTTGCTCCCTGTCTGTGTCTTCCTTAGGCTTTGACTGGAGTTTAATTTTCCTTGGAAAATTAAAATGGAGCCCCATTCCGAGGCTCCAATTTGCTCGTTTTCACACTGAAATTGTGAGCATTTTACTCTTGGATTGTATGCATATAACATTTCATGAAATGACTCAGCCTGACCTTCACAGGGTTAACATGAGGACTGTAATTAATGGCTGTTTCAGGATTTTATATTCTGTTTCAAATAGTGCTTTGGAGTTACTGAGAACCAGTTCACCTTTTTTTTTTTTTTTTTTTTTTTACATTTCATTTACTGCTCTTTCTTTTTTTATTTAATTAATTTATTTATACAAGAACCAGGGTACAGGCCAGATTCATGGGAGGGTGAGAGGATTCACCAGAGACAGAGCGGGGAACAAAACAGGCAGACTGACGAAATACACTGCTGAAGGGAGCAGCAGGTGAGACAGGAGAGGTCTGCCACGCCACGTGGGACCCTCGCTGGCTGGCCGGCCAGGATCAAACCAGCGCTGCAGAGGCTGCGGACAGCTTCACAGCACTGCACTCAACCGCCTGCACCACCAGGGGACGCCCGAGAACCTGTTCACATTTCATCTCACTTGGAAATAATCACATTAAACAGTATATGGCTGTTGCACTATATTTTTACAATAGTCACTTGTCATTTTCAGCTATATCCATAAAGATCAGCATTATAAGAAGCAATGGCAGCTTCCCATTGGACTCTGGGCAGGGCTGAGAAATTTTGTGTCAAGAATTTGGCCATACTCTGATGCTGGGTAATATTCATTTATTAAGCCAGTGTATCTTAATTTTAAGATATATGAATACGGGCATGATTAAATATAAGTATACAATAAGCATTGAACCTATATTTAGACAAGACAGGTTATAGAAGTTTTTAAGGCAAGTCCTCCTGGGGCTCTTTTACACGCATCCCTTGTTTGCTTTTCCAGTTAGAGCTAGCTAAACTGCAGAATTCGTCTGGATGAGTGAAGTAGACAGTGATCAGCAAGTGCCTGGGAAGACCTGCCTTGGGGGTACTTCCATTACAGCAGTATCACCTACTCTTACCTACTTTTCAGGTCTCTTTGACAGCCCACCAGGGTCAGATGATGCAAAGCTCATTGATATATTTTATCCTGGAGATCAGCAGTCTGTGACATTTGGAACCAAATCAAGAGTGGGAATGGGAGGCATGGAAGCCAAGGTAAGAGTCTTTGCCTTCATTGCCTACAACAGTATTTTATCATTTTAACTTTGATAATTGTTTGGGAGCTAATGATTCAGATGCTAGGCATATGTACACTTACATATGCATTTAACTAAATAGAGGTTTAATGCTTGTTGAACACCTGTATTTAATCATGTCTGCATATCTATTCTTTTTATTAATATTACACAATGTGTTCAAATTATATGCCCTCATTAAGGATAGGGCCTATGTATTTCCATAATTCATAACCTATTACCAGCTAAAATATTTCTTGATAAAGTCCTCAAAGAAATTTTCTCTCCAATTAATTGTTGTAAGAAGTTACACTTTTTAAGTACATGACAGAGATGAAGACTAGAGCCCCATTTACAAAAGCTTAAAGTGCTGAGACTCTGATTCTGGTAAAACACCAGGCTGAACACCAAGCTGTTTCTAAATTGAGGCACAATAAGTCAGATGCTGAAATTATTATGCGCTCCAGTACTGGAGAGCCTTGGACAGAGAGCACACTACACGCAGGGCGGGTGGCTTAGCTTTAGGCAGCATGGCAGGTGCGACTGGAAAGTGCTTGGCCTACCACATGCTCAGAGCTCCTGATATGCTGAAGACATTCCTGCACTTACATTGTTCGGTACCACATTGTATTTTTTATCTTTTTGCAAGTTTAAAGAGTGGGTGGCTAAGCCCTGCAAAGGTCTGAATCTCATGTTTGGATCTACCTTCTCCCATTAGGTGAAAGCTGCCCTCTGGGCTTTGCAAGGTGGCACTTCTGTGGTTATTGCCAACGGAACCCACCCAAAAGTGTCTGGGCATGTCATCACAGACATTGTAGAGGAAAGAAAGTCGGCACCTTCTTTTCCGAAGTGAAACCTGCAGGTTAGTAGTTCTTTTGAATCCCATGCCTGCGACTGATTGCTAGTGATTCAATGGCCTGGAAGGGAGTGAAAACTGAGCTCTCACCCTGGGAATCTGAATTATAAAATTAGTATGCTAATTTACGACAACATGGTAATGTTTGAAAACTTGCAAAATTGGATTTTAGTTTGCTTTTGTAAAATCATATCCAACTATGTCCCCTGTTCTCTCCAAAATCTCTAAGTGAAGGAATATAGGCATTCGTTTTCTGCAAGAAATATTTGCTAGGTCCATGCTAGATGCCAGGCACTAATAAGCACTGGAAGTGCAAAGATGGAGCTGTGGTATGTGTTCTCTGGTGTTCACAAAAAAAGGCTAGAATTGCTTGATTGTCTGCATTCAGAACTGCAAGTGCGTTAGAGAATGGAAGCCACTGTGGCGTGGAAAAGCACTCTAGGAAGCGGAGAATTTATAGTTCACCCCAGAAAACAGGCAAGCTCTTGTGGTCATGTGAGTTCATCTGGTATATTCTTTTGCCATTTTATTGGTCAGAAACAAGTGCAACAAGATACCGTGCACTCATTCTGTACATGGTGAGCCTGTGCATGTGCTAGGTAGTGAGGGGGACGTAAGCTGACTGTCACGATGTGGTGTCTGCAAATGTACTTGCAGGTCCTACTGTCGAGCAGCAGGGAGAAATGGCTCGATCTGGAGGAAGGACATTGGCCACGCTGGAACCTGAGCAGGTAATATTCTTCACTGGGAGCTTTGCTAGGGGTTTTGTTTTTTGTTTTTATTTTTTTTTAAATATCAGATACTTAGAAAAACAATAACCAACAAAAGACCTTTTTTGTATTGTATGTTTTCCTCCTGCCCCCTCCTCTAAAAATCCAAGTATAGGATTAGTTTAATTTTTTTTAATTCTGATACCTGCCTTACAAAAATTTCACTTTTTAAAAACGTTGATTAGAGTGTTTGTGAAGTTGTGTATAATTGAAGACATACCCTTAAGGACCTTTTGTTGAATTACGAAATACAAATTATTAAGCATAATATTGACTGTATTACATAGTTTCAGGTTTTTCTTTACTTCTAAAACATGTTTTCTTCAAATTGAGCTTAAAATGGGTGTATTTTCAACATACAGATAGAACCTAATTCTACTATACTCAAATGAAAACGCTAGACCTTAGTTTTTCAATTAATGGTAAAGATTATTATGAAGCTATGAGTAACTTAGAAGTGGCACAGTGTTAAAAGCACTGACTCTGGAGTTTGCCTTTTAGAGTTGTGAGAATTAAATGAGCTTACTCTCAGGACAAGGATTTAGAAGAGTGTCTGGCACAAAGTAAATACTATATAAATGTGTGTTGTTTTTACTGTTATATTTGTTTAATTTATTTAATTTTTTTAAGATTTGTTTATTTATTTATATATACAAGAACTGGGGTGTAGGCCAGAGGTGCAGGGGGTGAGAGGATTCACCCGAGATAGAGCAGGTTGCAAAACAGGTGGATCTACTGAAATACACTGCTGAGGGGAGCAGTGGGCGAGACAGGAGAGGACTGCTGTGCCATGTGGGTTAGTTCCCTGGACGGGGCTTGAACTCAGACTGCAGCAGTGATAGCATGATAGCACTGAGGCTTAACCCCTACACCACCAGGGAGGCCCTATTTAATTTTTTAAAATAGCTTTTATTGCCTCCAATAGGGTTGAGGCTCTTTGGAAACTACTTAAAAGACTTCTACTACTGAAAGTTACAGAAAAACTAGAGAGTTTTAGAATTCCCCTTCTACTCACAGTCTTCTTTCATTCTAAGATATTTCTTAAATTCTGTGGGATTCCATTTCCTCCCTTGTAAGATGGGAATTCCTTGGTAATGGGGCTTTGAAATGACGTCACGCCATAACAATCCTGTGATTCTTTGATCTTGTCTTCTGTTTATGCAAGAAGATTAAGGTTATTTGTGTGAAATTCTGTGATCTGGAATGGTACAGTTTAGAAGTGAAAGGGGCATTAACCAAATAGTCCACTCTCTGAAAACTAATTATTTCTCTTCAGTTAGTGGAGGGTTGGTTTCATATATCGATAGTTTTGTTAATTTTCAGAGCAAGTCATACTGTGAGGTTTAGAATAGTCAAGCCTGCTGACTCCCCCTTTATTCCTGGAGTCCCGCAGAGTTAGCTGACTTGCATGTCTGATTCAGATTCGCACTGCCTTTGTAATTTTTTTTCTTAATTTTATTTTCCCTTTTGTCTTTTCTAGGCCAAGGCCTAAGGTAGCTTTTTATGACTGTGATGTTTTGATCAGAAATATCATAAAAACCATGAGGCCAGAGAAGCTACCAATTTCAGCCACATACTGGAAATGTAGCCACATACTGGGCATGGAAATGTAGCAAAATTATTTATCCCAATCTAAGTCACCCCTAACTCACCTATGACATCAAGACTTAAAAGCCTGCCCACTGTCATAGCCCTGCCCAGTCCACAGTGACTTAGTTAGTTGAACTAAAGACAGAGGCTGGAAATGCAAGGAGATCAGGTGGAAGCTGGGGATGGCTTTCTAAGGACTATGTTAATAAGAAAGAATTTGAGAGTGATGTATATTAGTTTCTTCTGGGGAGTACATTGGTCTGAGAAAGGAGAAGAAAACGTGAAATAACTCTGAGAAAGGAAAGCAAACATGGAGCTAGTTTTCTTCCCTTAAAGCACTTCCCTTCACTCCTTCAGTAAGTTCCACGCTGACTCACATTTCCTAATCTGGGTGGATAAGAATTGGGATCGACCCCAAGCGATTTTTTCCCCTTTGATTGAATTCATTAAATAAGTGTCAATAAAGAAAAATTAGATACAAAAGCTTACCTGGGAAATAAACTATATAACAAGTGATAGTAAATATGTGGAGATGAATGTGTCATATTGATTCAAAGTACTGGCCCCTAACTCACGAGATTGTGCAGTTTATTATGCCCCCTCCCCCACTGCTGGACTGTTGCTTCAGGAGCTTTGTTGGCATCAGGGACACAGAAGTCATGGAGCAGTTTTGCAAGGCAAGACTCTGCTACTTGAGCAGAAGTTCTTGTGCCATTTACTGAAACCATACAGGCTGGTAAAAGATGATCATGCGACAAGAGGGATAAAGCCTGGAGGGTGGGATTGGAATGGGGGACAAAGTTTTATGAAGAACAGAGAAGGGGACATCATGACCACACGCCGTCAAGAGCCATTTGCGTCAGCAGAGTAAGAAGTTATCACAGGTAGAGTTATCTGAAGCCATCATGGAGATAGTCACGTAATCAGGTCAACAGTGGCCTAGGCATTCCTAGGCCTGCCTTGGGATGTGGGCTATACTCCGTAGGTAGTCAGGGAATGCTCTGCTGTGATTTACAGATAGCAAATAGGTCAGAGTTGCCCATTAGTGGCCAGCTAGTAGCCAGCTCATAGGAACCCATGCTGGGCCGTGGCTTGCTAATAATTAGGTAAAAGAGGAAGAAAAGAAGGATAGGGGAGAGATTAGCAGTGGGGGGATGGGACAGGAAATGTGATGAGCAATAGTGAAAACTGACGGAATGGTATGAGGTAAGGAAGTTTCAGGGGTGACCCTGGATGAGGGGCAAGGCCTGGCATGCTCAGAGGTTCACAGGTGTGGCCTGCATTCTTGGATTTACATGTTTGCTTATTTGTTTTACTGTTTCTCCCTTCTTCCTAGAGAGCAGAGATTATCCATCATTTGGCCGATCTGTTGACAGACCAGCGTGATGAGATCCTGTTAGCCAACAAAAAAGACTTAGAAGAGGCAGAGGGTAAAGATCAGGCAATTTAGAGTCAATGTTTTGGAGGTTTTGGTTTTTGTTCTTTATTTATGAATAATTCTTATGTCTGCAGAAAGATGAGTGTTTTAAATACAGCAAGATATATAAGAGTGTATATTATGCATCATTTTCATTGAGGTTAGGTGGTGGTATTCATTGCCCTTTTTCAGACGGCACATACTGCCTTTCCCAGATATTCCAGTATTATCCTCCAGAGGGGCTTTTTCCATGCCCTGCAGATCACAAGCCATGGCTACTAAGGCCAATTCGGAACAGTGAAAGAAAAGATTGAGGACCTCGCAGCTTTATACACGCAGCTAACACTTATTGAGACTTTTCTGTGTTGCCAGGAGTTGTGCTAAGGGATTTACAGGCCGGGTGTTATTTTAACTTTACAATATAGTGCCTGTAACATAGCTACTATTTATTACCCCCTTTTTACAGAGAAGAGAACTGCAGCACAGAGAAGTTATCACATAAAGCCAGTGGTCAGTTTCTGATCTGGAATCAAACCAAAATGAACTATGCATGTAAAATATTATAGAAATGGTCTGTGCCATGTGTAAGAAAATGGAGCTTATCTCTTAGTTAATGAGTGTGTAGTCTGCCCAGAATTAGCAACAGGTGCCATCCAGAAATTCCCTTGAGGTGTCTCTGGTAGAGTGAGTGAGGTGGCTTACCACACATTGCAGACAGCAAGCTGTCTGTTCCACCCTAAAATAATGTGGGTTGGTGTTACAGAGTTTAGAATCTCCTTTCTCCTGAATAAATGTGCCTTAAATTAAATATCCAAATTAATGGTGTTCACTTCAAAGAAAGCTTGCAAGACTCCTTAAAACATTTTTGAGCCACTGTTTTGAAACTTCCTTTAGAACTTTGAGTTTTTGCAGTATTGAAATGTCTTAAAATAGATGTTCAGAAATAGAAGAAATCTTTGATATAATCTTAGTGAGTTCTTTAAAGTATTAAGATCCAAGGAGGTTAAAGTTGTTGCTCAGCAACCACACTACTGGTTATTGGCAGCTCTCTGACTTATGATCTCAGTTATCTCTCTGGAAATTCATAAGGATGCACAGTGGCTTAGGAATAAAGTCCTGGGTATACCTGAGCTTGTAATTCCCTTTGACTTGAAAGTAAGCCCACTTCAGGAAATGTATCCTAAGAATATTTCAGGAGGAAATAGCTCTATATGTAAAAATACTTACAACAGTATTATTTAATAACATGGGGGTGAGTGCATTAAGCTGTATCAACTTAATGAAATATTGGATAGTAAGTAAAAAAACTTTTGTAATATGGAAAATGTACAGTTGTCGTGAGATGAGAAACTAGAATGTACATCCAATATAGGCTATAATTAAAACCTGATTTCTAGCACATGGGGAAAAGGGAAGAAATTGATATAATTGGTAGAGAATGATGGTTTAATTTCTTCTTAATGTGAGGTTAGTTCCATCCCTCCACAGTAGAAATTTTTTTAATTTTGTCTTGGTGGGTGTCACTTCAGGAAAAAAGGGAATTTTTCATGATCTCTTCTCAACATTAACCATAGTAATGACTTGTGATATATCCTGAGTATGTATGGATATACATATATGTCGAGAGATTCACACCATGCTTACTATTCTATTTAAATTTGAGAAAGATCTGTATATGAACTTAGCATAATTGTTAGTATGACATTGTATTGCTTTTATTTCAAATTTCAAAAGAAAACATTTTCATTGCTTCTGATTAAAATAACAGTTCATTCTTTATAAAAATTTTGTACAAGGGCCTCCCCGGTGGCGCAGTGGTTGAGCTCTGGGTTGCGAAGCTGCCTATAGCCTCTGCAGCGCCGGTTCAATCCCCGGCTGCTCCCCGGCCACCGGAGGAGGGTCCCACATGGGCGCAGACCTCTCCTGCCGCCCGCTGCTCCCTCAGCAGTGTACTTCGGTCCTTCTGCCTGCTCTGCTCCCCGCTCTGGCTCTGGTGAATTCTCTCACCCTCCCGCGCTTCTGACTGTACCCAATGCGTGTATAAACAAACAAATAAATAAATACATAAATAAAAAATACATGCCTCTTAAAAAAAAAAAAAAAAAAAAAAAAAAAATTTTGTACAAGAAGATAAACGGGTTATTTTTGTTTTTGATGCCTTCCAGAAGTGACCCTGTGCACATGTTTATATGCATGCTTGATAAGTAGCATATAATCCCTGCTTCACTGTGGTTTGCTCTTTTCACAAACTAGATCCCGGATTCATATATTAGTATATGAATACACATATGTATGTTTACTGATGCAGGAAGATACAAGATATATTTATACACTCTATGTATAATAGCTGCATTGTAGCCTATTGTCTGAATTTATAAGGTGGAAGCCATTTTCTTACTATTATAAAATACTGTGGGGGGCCTCCCCAGTGGCGCAGCAGTTGAGCTGCTGGGTTGCAAAGCTGCCCGCAGGCTCTGTGGCGCCGGTTCAATCCCCGGCTGCTCCCCGGCCACGGAGGAGGGTCCCACATGGCACGCAGACCTCTCCTGCCGCCCGCTGCTCCCCTCAGCAGTGTACTTCGGTCCTTCTGCCTGCTCTGCTCCCCGCTCTGGCTCTGGTGAATTCTCTCACCCTCCCACGCTTCTGACTGTACCCAGTGCTTGCATAAATAAATAAACAAACAAACAAACAAATAAATAAATCTTTTAAAAAAAAATACTGTGGTAAGTATCCTCATCACATGCCAGTTTGCTCAGCTAAATGATAAATTTCTGGAACTGAAATTGCTGGCACAAAGGTTATGGGTGTGTGTACCTTGGCATGATACAGACTCCCAAACTGCCCCTAAAAGAACTATGTAAATGGCATGTCCAAGACCTGCTGAGTTCCCTGACTACTCCCAGAGTAGTGCCACATTAAGTAAAAACAGCAATAGCTTGCCCAGACTTACGAATTTATCCTGTATTCTTCATACCTTGCAGGGAGACTTGCGGCTCCTCTGCTGAAACGTTTGAGCCTCTCCACATCTAAACTGAACAGCCTGGCCATCGGCCTACGGCAGATCGCAGCCTCCTCACAGTACAGCGTGGGCCGCGTTTTGCGCCGGACCAGAGTTGCCAAAAACTTGGAACTGGAACAAGTGACTGTCCCAATAGGAGTTCTGCTGGTGATCTTTGAATCTCGCCCTGACTGTCTGCCCCAGGTGTGTGACTGATAACTGCCATGGGTGGGTGGGGGGATTTGAGGAAAAGTATCTTTCCAGGGCTGGAGATAGATCTCCCAATGTTATTTTCTCTCCTTCCTTCCTTTTCTTCCTTTCCTTTTGTTTTTAAGTGAGAAAGTCTTATTCACCACAAGATAATTTTTAAGACTTTATTCTGAAAGTATTTCTAAAACAGATGTTTATATGTCCATTTTACTGTTGAAGAAACACAAGCTTATAAATGTTAATATTCCTGCCACTCTTCTAAGGGTGTCACTGGGCCTTGAGCTAAATGATTCTGCACTCCACCAAAGGAAGCGCATCTCCTCATAGCTTAGCTCACTGGGGCACTTTGTTCCCTAACCACAGAGTCCCTACTAACTCCTCAGGTTGTTCATGTAATAGCTGTTTCTGCCCATGTGAGAAAAACCCTTTTGTGACAGTGCCAGTGTCATAGGTGATTCCTGTAGGTACATATCTCAGGAAAAAGGACTTTCAAGTAGTTACGAGAACTAGAGTACAACCCTCTTTAAGGGCCTTGGCATAGCACAGGCTGATGTCAAGCAACCATGTGGAGAAGGTCTTGCCAAGCATTCACCTCGTGAAGCACAAGTTGGTTTTAGTGGACAGTGTCTCGGTTGCTGTAAATTCTCCCACAAACCTGGGGCCATTTCCCTACCAGATTTTCCAGTAGAATGATACCAGCTCTTTCTTCACTCTCCAAAAATCTCAAAGAGAAATTCTTAAAAACATAAAAATTATCCTCTTTTCTTATGGGGCATAGGAGACCATGGTTGTCCAGAGGATACAAACTGATGTGACTGAAACCAGCTTGTTCACCTCTCTTGCCATCAAGGGTCTGTCTTCAGCCCTGACTGGTCTTAGCACAACACCCCCTCCAGACCCTATCCTTGTCTTGCAGAAATGCCCCAGTGAAAAATGCAGAAGTCTAGTTGGCCAGTAGAAAATGGAAACTAAGTCTCTCAGCAGACAGTGTCCTTGAAGTTTCTCTGTTGCCTTTTATCTGATACTTCACAAGGAGAAAGATTTCTCTTTAGCCAACTATAACTGAGGTTCCTTACCTGGGGTCTTCACCCTGAAGACATCACAGAATCCATGAATCCTATAAGGTACATTAGAATTCTCTGTGTTTGTGCATTTATCTGAGAAAGTTTACATAACTTTTATAAGGCATCTATGAGCAACAAAAACAAAAAAGGAGTAAGAAAACACTAATCTGGTGATTAACATGTTCAGGCAAAGTTTTTTTTTGTGACATTTCTTCCACTGTGTTACAAAAACAGAAGGATTTTCATTCATCCCAAGAGCACACAGAAAGTTAAGCTTCAGGCCTTAGATGATCAGGTCAGTGTCGTTAACTATGCTCTAAAATGATAACTAACCCTCCCCCTGGTTAGCCTCTTTTTTCCTCCCCAAACAGGCTTAGGTACCCACCAGTCTCAGGGGCCGGTGGAAGTGTTAGTCTTCTCCAGATTCTTAGCAGCAATTATTTAGAGCTCTCAGAACAATTGCAGAGCAGGATTACCACAGGAATGCCACAAGGGACACTACCTGATCACCCTGTCCTCCACTGAGGCCGGCGGGAGGGAGCCATTCAACCCTGGCCACTTGGCTCAGGCTACTTTGCTAATGTCTGAGAAAACTGTATAGTTAATTCCAAAGACAAGGTGTTTTGGCTGTGAGGTCAAGGCTCCCAGTCCTGCCTGGTACAAGCTGTGCGACCTCGGAGAGTCACCAGTCTGGGCTTCAGTGTAAGGTGAGGGATAAAACAGGTACTTAATTCACTGGAATGTTGTGAAGAGTAAACAGGAAGGGCCTGATAAAGTGAATTAACACAGTGGTTGGCACAAAAAAGTGCTCATGAAGGCTAACATTACTATTATTATTATTGTTTTCTCCCTTTGGTTCATTCCTCTCTGTTCATCTGCAGGTGGCTGCCTTGGCTATTGCAAGTGGTAATGGCTTGTTACTCAAAGGAGGGAAAGAGGCTGCACACAGCAACCGGATCCTTCATCTCCTGACCCAGGAGGCCCTCTCAATCCATGGAGTCAAGGAAGCAGTACAGCTGGTAGGTCCCTGGTTATGAGCTAGGTCAGCTGGGAAAGGTCTGGATCAGTCTTTATGAGTGTGAAGCACAACTTGGGCCATACAAGGCCAAGTCACTTACATAGGCAGGCTTGACTAGAGTGGTGGCCGCTGTGTGGCTGCTGATGGTCAGTGCCAAGGTTTTCCTTGGCTCGGGTGAGTTTTCAGTGCTTTAGCAAGATCACTCTCACATAGCTGCGTCCTAGCTCTACTGATTTATAATAATGCCCAGTGGCCCTTCCTCCTTTGCAGAAATACCAGACCTACAGTGAGAGGCATTGGTTTAGTTCACTTAACAGAGTGATTTAGAGCAAGTCAGATGAGATAAATTCTATTAAAGTTTGTCATAAACTATCATGCAATGTGGAAGTATGAGGTCGTGCTATTGTCATTATTTTTGTGATCTCTGTTTTTACCATTTTTTCATGCTCTTCAACTATCGAATGGACTTTTTGAACTAGAGAGAAATAGCTCCAATTTATTGAGCACTACTATGGGCTAAGCACTTTTCATCCATCACCTCATTTGATCTTTATAACAACCCTACGAGGAAAATGGCATGAATTATTAGGTCCATTTTATAGACAGGGAAAAACAGGCTCAGAAGTAATCACAGTCTCCTGTAGAGTTTAGATTTGGATCTAAGCTAGCTCCAGAACTGCTCTTTGCCACACTGGCTTCATCACTGCAGGATTCTGTTGGCACCTGGGAGTGTATCTGCAAGCCTGCTGCTTGACATGCCCACTGACAAGAGTCTGGGGGTTTCTCATGGCAACAGTGGGATGGAAAGAGCACAGGTTTTTAGTATTCAATCCCCAGTGCTACTATGTTCTGACTTAAAACTTAACAGGCTCCTCTCCCTTCTTCCTGTTGATCTATGGCATTAAGAAAGTACAAATCTTATGTGAACAATTCTAAGATTTTGTCCGTGTATATATACACAAACATAGCCACCAGCCATATCAAGACTCAGAACTTTCCCAGCACCCCAGAAGGCTCCCTTGTGCCCTTAACTAATCCATATGCCCTGCTCCTACCACAAGCAACTACTTCTTCCACTTCTTTCATATTCAGTATCTTTTGCCCATTCTTTAAGTTCATGTAAATGGATCATTCAAAATACATTCTTTTGAGCCTCCCCATTTCCCTCCCGCCAAAACCAGTAAAAAGCCAAAAAGAAAAAACTTTCTTTTATTCATCATTGTTGCCATCTAGCAGTGGTTTTCTTCTTTATCCCCATTTAATATTCCATTCATAGGCATAAGCCAGTTTATCCTTCTTTCTGTTGATAAACATCAAGAGTTGTTTCCAGTTTGGGGCCATGCAGAATAACATTCTTTTTTTTTTTTTTAAAGATTTATTTTTTTATTTATACAAGAGCTGGGGTACAGGCCAGAGGCGCGGGAGGCTTGAGAGGGCTCACCAGAGACAGAGCGGGAGCAGAACAGGCAGATGGACTGAAAGCACCGCTGAGGGGAGCAGCGGACGAGGCAGGAAAGGTCTGCTGCGCCATGTGGATATCTCTCTGCCTGGCTGAGAATCGAACCCGCTCTGCAGAGGCTGTGGACAGCTTCACAGCGCTGTGCTCAACCCACTGCACCACCGGGGAGGCCCAGAATATCATTCTTGTATAGATTTGTACTTCATGTGGCAACATAATGATAAGGGGGAGAATTAAAAATCAAGAAGAGAAAAAAAATACTTAAAATCTCAGTGTTCTAACACCACACTTCAGTTCATTCAGCCAGCATCCCAGAGCAGAAGTTGTCAGCAGTCAGGGATACTGTGGCTCCTAAGCAAAATGTCATTTGGCCTGTGAATTAGAGAATCAACAGAGCAACCACTTCTGTCTAGTATCTTCAGAGCATGTCCTGTATGTTTTGCAATGCAGAGCACAGCACCTTATAGGTAGTGTTTATAAACCTTTGGTGGCTATCTTTTCAATTCCCTTTATCACGACCGGTATTTTGGATTCAGAATAGGTTTTCAGAGTGCCTGATTTAGTTCTCAGGAGGTGCAGATATTTATCTGTAAAAGGAAGCCTGTTCTATGTATTTTTTCCAATTATGTTTATTAGAGTAAAGTTGGTTTACATCATTTTATTTCTTTTAGGGGTTATAAGTTCAAACCTCTACCAATGTATGTTTCACACCATGCCCACCACAGAGTCCCAGTAATCTACCACCATGCTCTGTAGGAGCCCTCCTCCTCTCACTCCTACCCCTGCCACACTCCCATTCTAATGGGAGTTTTGTAGTCAGATGTCACGGGTTTGTTATGGTTTGGTTTTTCTTACCCTTTGTTTTATTTCTCTACATTCCACATATAAGTGAAACCATCCAGCATTTGTGTTTATCCTCCTGGCTTACTTTGCTTAGTATTGTTCTCTCAAGTTCCATTCATGTTGTCACAAATGCCAAGATTTCATCTTTTTTTTTGTAACTGAGTAGTATTCCATTGTATATGTATACACCACATCATTTTGATCCACTCCTCTGTCCTTGGGCAATTAGGCTATTTCTATAACTGGGCTATTGTGAATAAGGCTGCAATGAACACAGGAATATATACATCCATTAGAATTACTGTTTTTGAATACTTTGTGTAGATACCTAGGAATGGAATTGCTAGGTCATATTGTAGATCTATATTTAATATTATGAAAAAAGTCTATACTGTTTTTCCATAGGGACTGAATCAGTCTACATTCCTGTCAACAGTCAACATCCTCACCAACACTTGGTGTTTCTGGTCTTTTTGCTCTGAGCCTTTCTCTTGGTTATAAGGTGGGATCTCATTGTGGTTTTGATCAGCACTTCCCCAATGATAAATGATGATGAGCATTTTTTCATATGCCTATGAGGCATCTGTATGTCTAGGAAATATGTCTCTTTAACTCTTCTGCTCATTTTTTGATTGGGATATTTTCTTTTTGTTGAGTTGCAGCTGTATGATGTTCAAATACGTTTCCTATTCAATATGGTGTCATTTTCTTCTGCTGTGCGGAAGCTTTGTAGTTTGATATAATCCCATTTGTTTACATTTACTTTTGTTTCTCTTGCTTTTGGAGATAAACCCTCCAAGGATGTCTCTGAAACCAATGTCACTGAGTTTTTTGCCTGTTTTTCTTCCATGTATTTTATAGTTTCAGGGCTTTGTATCATGTCTTTAATCCATTTTGAGGTTATTTTTGTGTAAGGTATATGATGGTGATCTAGTTTCATTCTTTTCCATGTGGCTGTCAAGTTTTCCCAGCAACATTTGTTGAAGAGACTCGTCTTTCTCCAGTGTATGCTCTTGGCTACTGTATCATAGAGTTACTGCCCAGAGATGCATGCATTTATTTCTGGACTCTCAGTTCTATTCTATTGGTCTGTGCATCTGTTTTTGTTTCAGTACCATAGTATTTTGATATTACTATAGCTTTGTAATCCAGTGTGAATTCTAGGGGTGTGATACCGCACCCCTCCCCTGTTTTGTCAGGATTGTTTTAGCTATTCAGGGTATTTTGTGGTTCCATATGCATTTCATTAATTTTTGTCCTATTTCCTTGAAGAATGTCATTGGAACCTTGATAGGGATTGCACTGAATCAATATATTGCTTTGGGTAGGATAGACATTTTAACAATTTTAACTCTTCCAGTCCAAAGCTGGGAATATCTTTCCCCTTTTAACAATATCTCATAGTTTTCATTATATAGTTCCTTCACGTCTTTCATTTAGTTCACTCTTAGGTATTTAATTTCTTTTCGTTATAATTGTGAATAGGATTGTTTTCTTGATTTTCTTTCTCTTCTCATTGTTGGCTTATATAAATGCAGCTGACTTTTGCAAATTGATTTTATACCCTGCCACTTTATGAAATCGATTTTCATGTATTTCAGTTAGTTCTTTGCTACTTCCATATTTTATGTGAAGATTTTATCTTTTTATTTTCTGCCACTTCAGGTGAATACCAGAGAAGAAGTGGAAGATCTTTGCCGTCTGAACAAAATGATAGATCTAATCATTCCACGTGGCTCTTCCCAGCTGGTCAGAGACATCCAGAAAGCTGCCAAGGGAATTCCAGTGATGGGGCATAGTGAAGGGATCTGCCACATGTATGTGGATTCAGAGGCCAGTGTTGATAAAGTCACCAGACTGGGTGAGCTGAATGGGGTTCCCTTTGTTACAGGGACACAATACTTGTCAGATGCTCTCTGGTTCTGATCATGTTAACAGAAACAATTCTTTGTCATTCTCGTTTTAGTCAGAGACTCTAAATGTGAATATCCAGCTGCCTGTAATGCTCTAGAGACTCTGTTAATCCACCGAGATCTACTGAGAACACCACTATTTGACCAGATTATTGATATGCTGAGAGTAGAACAGGTAAGGCAAGTCCTCTGCCTATGGCATTAGGCCAGGAGCAGCTGCCATACTATTTAAGGCAATTTAAGAAGCAGTATTTTTGAGTACGAAAGTACTGTGCTAAGTATGTAGAGATTAGAAGATATGCCCTGCCTTCTGACAGGCTAGTCAAAGGGAGAAACTTCAAAGATAAACAGACCACATGGCGGCACACTGATGGACTAGCTCTGGCAACATTTTATACAGGCGGCAAAGTTTGAAATTTATGTTCCTGAACACACATTCCCTTTGGATTTGATTTGAAAATGTGGTGCAGAAATGTTTTCAAACCAAAAATTCTTATGCATCCACCCCAACCCTCAAATGTCTTCAGTTACCAATATTAATGTACTTAGTACAGTGCTACTCAGAATCAACAATTTGTGTAATGTTCTCTCTGGGTTATTTTCTTACCATTTTGTTAAGGTTGTAAACAACCAGAGGTAGTACATTTCAAGCATAAATATATGTTTCACCCTAAATTCCTAATTGCAAGAAAAGAGATATTCTCCAAGTAAAAACAATCTTAATTTTCTGTCAGGATACCTGTTGTTATGATGCCCTTTTTTAGAGTTACAGAAAACTGGCCAGCAATAGAGAAAGTGGCTGTGGAGCTCAGCTGCTCTGACTGAGCATTAGTCTCTTCCTTTCCATCCTTTTGTTAGAAAAATGGACTCTGGTCAGCTTAAAGATGTGGCATCATCCCAGTGAGAACCTAGAAGAATTTTTTAAAAATGAAAATTCACATAAGAAATAAAAATGATTAAAATCATTAAAGATTTTTTGATGATTAATTGAAATGAATTTATAAATAAAAGCACATGTTTGGGGCCCTTACATTAGTGCCCTATTTAACTGGGCACCTGTGTGTGCCAGGCACCACGATGGACTGGACTGGACAGGAGGAAAACTTTCAGCTAGAAATAAAACCTTTAGTCCTGATTTAGACAAACCCACAGTATCCTCAGTCCTTCTCAGGACTGCCTTGAAATACCTCTTGTACTTTGTGTAGCACCTTTGATTGCAGGAGGTAAACCACTGAGCTCGGGCCCAAGAGTGGGCGACAGTCCCAGAAGAACATGGTTGGACCCCAATCCTGGAGGATACGGGTTCCAATTAGGAAAGCACAGCAGGGGTTCAGAAGCAATGAGGATAGGGCAGACAATGCTTGTGACATAAGCCAAGGCATGGACGCTGCCCTGGGGAGGTCCTAGAGAACAAGGCCACTGTGGGGGCCAAACTGTGACTGGCGCCCTCTGTGACCGGCTTCAGGATCCCTATATTCCTCCCACTAGAGCAGGATGAACCTCTGAGGATGGAGCTGAGCTGAACCTGCAGGTGGGCACCAGACTGACAGAAATCTACCAAGTGACCACAGCTTGAACATATACTTGGACTTCTCCAGGTGGAGGGAGTGGAGGGAGTGGAGGTGTATATGTATCATCTCCCTCTTCTGTGAGTCCAGTGCCTCGGTCCCATGTGGAAGGAGTGGGATTTTTGTCGTCAAGTATTCCTTTTATTAAAGTGCCTGTTATCAAGGGCTTATGTCTGTAGCCCATAAATGCTTTGCACATTCTTAGGTTCAAACATTTTCTTCATAAATCCCTGCTCCAGTTTTACTGAGGGCCCATTGCTGACAAGTGGCCAGCTAGCATTTTCAAAAGCAGCTTATCTCACCAGATGGGAGGTTGCCTCTAGAAGGAAAGCAGGAATGACTCTAATAGTCCAGGCTGCAGGAGCCACAGGCTCATCCTCAATCAGGCTCATCTTGCTGTTTGACCCCAGAGAAAAGTGTGAGCTTGGTTATTTTTGTTGTTTATCTTGTCACTCCTGGACTTCCTCTGTTCCAGGTGAAAATTCACGCAGGCCCCAAGTTCGCCTCCTATCTCACCTTCAGCCCCTCCGAAGTGAAGTCCCTCCGAACTGAGTACGGGGACTTGGAAATGTGCATTGAAGTGGTGGACAGTGTCCAGGATGCCATCGACCACATCCACAAGTACGGCAGCTCCCACACGGATGTCATCGTCACAGAGAATGGTCAGTGTCCAGATGCTTCAAAATGTGGTGTCTGCTTTACTGCTTTGATCTCCGAGGTGGTCATGCTCCTCTTGGTCCCTCTTGGACTGAAGGAAAACATAATCTGAATAGGCTAATGGTGATGCCAGGTATTGGCTGAATTTACTGATTTGTTGAGTGCTTCCTGTATGATCTCATATTGTCACAGTGCCCCATCGGAGGAGACAGGGAAGAGAAGATTAGCTCCACTTTAAAGGTGACTCATTCTCTCAGAGGTACTATAATTTAATTATAATTTAATCTCTACAACACTAGCCAAATGGCTTGAAATAAGCCCATTTTATAGCTGAGGAAATCAAGTCCAGGAGGTCAAGTGCAAAACCAAGTGGTTTAGGGCAGAGTTTAACTCGATAGTCATTCTTCCACTCTGTACGTACAATAAGAGACACATATAAGTGCCGGGCACTGGAGGCCTGATGGTAAAGGAAACCAGTAAGGGAACTTACAGTCAGTTTATTGGGGAATCGCACCACCAAAAATGATAGCCAACAGTTACTGAGCACTCTGGGATGAGTGCTTTGTGAGTGTCAACTCATTTTATCCTCTGCACAACCATGTGAACTAGGTAATGTTCAGTCTCCCATTCACTCAAGCACAAAGAGGTTCAGAATCTTGCCCAAGGTCACCCTGCTATTGGGTGTAGAGTTGGAGTTAAGATTCAGTCATTCTGGCTCTGGATCCTATAAATTGTGTAAATAGACTCTGCAGTGGCAGATAGTTTATCTGCAGTGGCAGATCTGGATTGTATCCAGTCTTTCTCAGGCAATTGCTTTTTACACGATAGTGACAGACAAAGTGGCTTGCCCTTCTTCCTCTGCAGATTTTTCACAAGTCTGCATGTTTAACATGTAGGGGAGCTCCTTGGGGACTTGGGCTCTGCCCCAGTCAGTCATCAGTGAATCACTGGAAGCAGGATGTTCTCATGGGTCATCCTAACTCAATTTCTTCTCTTATTTATGTTGCAGAGAAAACAGCAGAGTTCTTCCTTCAGCACGTGGACAGTGCCTGTGTGTTCTGGAATGCCAGCACTCGCTTCTCTGACGGCTACCGCTTCGGACTGGGTAAGAAGGACTCCAGTCAGGGGAGAAAGGAGTCTTGTGAGTCCCAGTGTGCTCCAAAGAGAACAAGAGGAGGAGAATACTCCTCGGAGTCACATGCCAGGGAAGATTTGGGAGAGGTGGGCGTGTGAAAGAGAATAGACAGCTGCCATGAGCTGGCATAAGTCCTGTGCTTAGGGCATGTCGCATGGAACAGAGTAGCCACTCATTTCCATGTTCATAGATGGGAAAACAGATCCAAAGAAAGAACTTGCCCAAAGCAATGCAGTGGGCATTCATGCCCAAACCCATGTGCCTCTGAGGCCTGGCTCCTGCCCACCTCAGCATGGGCAGAACAGGCATATCCTTCTGACCAGTTGGAACAGGGGTATGGGCCAAAGTCTCACCAGCACTGCCATTGCGAGCATTTCCTCAGCCAGGTTGCCTAAGAATTGGGAATCCCCCATGAGGACAGGATGGAGGAGGGTGCTTAGTGCCTGTGCTGGATTGAAGTGTCAGCACCAAAAACAATAAGTAGGCCCAGTGGTGCTAGGTTTACTTCTAGTAAACCTTCAGTTTGGTCCAAACTGAAATAAAAAGCTCCAAAAGACAGCCTCCCCGCCTCTTCCATCATTAATAAATCTCCATCCCCTTCGTGTAGGTTTGCACCATGTCTCTGGTTTTCAGAGATTCCATCACAAGCTCCAATAAAGCATTCATGACACATCTGAGAATTATTTCAGCCACTTAAAACATTTTAATCTCTCTTAACTTTTGAATGGATGATCTGCCCAGAGAAGTAGTTCCCACTGAATTGTTAAAGGTTACCAAAGGGAGTGTTACTCAGTTATCCTTGGTCATTAAACTCTTTT